AGTTGAGCTTCCCTGTGAAGAAGGAATTGGGCATGATCTCAGCATCCAGCAGCATGAAGAAAGGATAGAAATTCTGCAGTTGAAAATAACAATGTTTTAGGAAACTTCAGTTTGGTCCAGAGGTTTGGCCAAATGAAGAGTTCAGCTACAGGCCCCTCAGAGATCTGCTGCACAGCAGCCTGCGTTTATGTGCCTCCAGCTACATTTACCCTATTTTGACTTTTCCCTGGACACCCTTCTGCTGCCAGAGCCTGGTGTAGGCCTTACTTAGATCTTTTCCATAGGAACCTGGGAGGTAAAATCTACACTCGGGGTTTCCCAGGACTGCAGAATTTGTCCCCGACTCTAACCCACATTCAGAGCGCAACCTTCCCAACCACAGTTTGTTTGAAAAGGAAATGAACTAGTCCACACTAGTGGATAGATTACTTAAAAGTGCTTATGTTCTAAGTTTGTCTTTTTTTCTTTTATATAACTCTGAATTTCTGCAGGGCTTTTTGTTGGTGGTGGTATTTTTGGTTTTTTTTTAAACAGGGTTTTACTATGTGGTTCAGGCTGGCCTGGAACTCACTTTGTGGCTCAGGGTGGCCTCAGACTTGCAGAGATCCCCCTGCTTCAGCCTCCTGAGTGCTGGGATGACAGGCCAGCACCACCATGCCCGGCAACTTCGCTGGTTTTAAGAAGTCATTTAATGACAAGCTGCTATCTAGTCAACACGTCCTGACAATGAAAGATACCAACGCTACACCAAGCATAAAATGCAAGTGGCGAAACTGTTCTAGGAGCCAGGCCAGGGTGTGCTGTTATCTGCACAGAGCAGAAGATGGAGAAAGGAGCAGCTCCACGTGCCTCCTCTCGGCTGAGGACCGGCGGCGCCACGGGGTCACAGCAGCTGCGCCTTCTACTCCTCCCAGCTGATTCTGTGTGAACTTTTTATGTGTATTACTTCTGGAATCATAATTCTTAATATTTTACTGATTTAAAGGGCTAGGCAGTCAGGGAAGCAAGCAGACCAGTGATAGAATACGAAGGCTTGGATTCAATCTGGCCCCATAAGAAAATGAAAAGTAAAGGCAGAGCCATGTTGAAATTTGCAAACATTTTGCTTCGATTTCGTTTTTCAAAAGGGTGCACAACTGCCTATTTGACTGGCAGTGTGAAATGGCGAGTTTCACAGCTTTTCCTGCTGTGTAGATGAAAAGTATTTCTAAGTGTTAGCTTCCCAACAGGTAGAGTACGACTTTTTTCAAAGTAAGTATTTCTGGTTTTCAAAATGAGTTTTTAAAATAAAAGAGTAGTTGGGCTTGGTAGCACACATCTGGAATCACTCTGGGAGGAGGAGACAAGAACACAAGTTGGAGCCAGCCCAGTCTACGCAACTTAACAAGACCCATCCAAAACAGAAGAGGGCTGCAGATACAGCTCAGTTCAAAGGACCTGGGCTCAAATGCCCAGAACCACACACACATGTCGAAATGGACGGGTAGATGGATGATGGATAGATGGAAGGAAGGAAGGAAGGAAGGAAGGAAGGAAGGAAGGAAGGAAGGAAGGAAGGGTAGATGGACGGGTGGGTGGGTAGATGGATGGGTGGATGGATGATGGATGAGTGGGCGGGTGGGGGGATGGATGGATGGGTGGGGGGATGGATGAATGGATGGATGGATGGATGGATACTAAGGGAGATGAAGCAGAGCAAAACTGTTTTCTTCTAAACCACACAGCTGCTCTTCCTTCCATCCATTCCCATTTAGAATGTGCCTCTTTCCTCATCAGGGAGGAAACTGATGCTGCCCCTCGCCCCTCCTGCCTAACCATGTGTGAATTTGTCTGATTTCTTTGTACCTTGCAGTGCACCTGCTCACCCTAGGGAAACAGAAGTCACAGCCTGGCATCTGCTCCCCGGCACGGTGGACCCACACCCCTGCAGCAGTGGCTTCCACCCGGCGGCCTCTCCCACTAGGTCTGCTTCCCCATCGCGGAAACACCACCTTGCAGGTTACTGCTTGGAGAGCCTGAGGGTCGGCAGTCAAGCCTGGCCACTTCCTGGGCAGCGGAGCCAATTGAACCAGCCCTGTGCACACAGCTGCTGCATGGTGGCAGCTGAGGGCCACCGTCCAGCGGCAGCGTTTCCACACTAGCGCTCAAGCATCAACGATGCCTGCTGTCTACGCCGAGTGGCCACAGAGCCTGGGGCCTTGGTGGGGGGGAGGTGGCGGAGAAGCCGGCACTGGGGACAGACAGCAGCCTCACAACCCGTGGTCACTCGTTTTACCTTCAGCTGTTCATAACCCCGCGCCCCACCTGCAGCATCAGGGCTTGTGGCTTTCTGATCCTAGCCAGTGTTCTGGGTTGGGTGCTGAAGCGCCCTGCTGAACATTTCTAACCACACACCACTTGGTGGCCAGTGAGGCCCTGCTGCCCGGACCAAGGGCGGCGAGCTCTGAGCGCTCTGGGTACTCATGCCAGGGGCCCAGCAGGGAGGGGTGACACTCCCCAGCTCTCCAGGGTCAGACTCGGCCTCCGCGGTGAGGACCCAGAAGACCTGCATAGCTACCTGCAGTCTGGGTGCACGCTAAGATGGCACTGAGCCCCTCCCAGGAAACGCTGCCGCCTGCAGACAGTCCCAAGGGCTCTTTTCCCAGGCAGGTGCTGAATAAACTGGCTCTCTATGCCCAAGACTAAAACTAGGACCCATGTCCATCACCATGTATTAAAAAAGTCAAAATGGATCAAAGATCTAAATATTAGAACAGAAACCCTAAACCCACTGGAAGAGGAAGGAGGCAGACACACTGAAGACACAGGGTAAGTAGTGACTTCATGAGCCGAACCAGGCCAAGAAGCACGGTGCCGCCTGCCTTGCTGCTGTTACCAGGACTGCTTTTGCCATCCTAGTTCTCTTCTGGTTCCAAGAACATTTTAGCAGTGTCCCTCGAGTTCTGAGCAGGTACTAGTGGTACCCTGCTCAGGACTGCACTAAATCTCCGGAACAGTTCTGCAGCACGGCCATTTTCGCTTGTGGCCCTTCGTATCAACGAGCAAAGGCTATCTCCATTTTCTGATGATCTTTTCAATCTCCTTTTTCAGAATACTGTAATGTTCAGCATATAAAGCTTTTACTTTGTTTGGTTGATTTCTAAGTATTTTATTTATTTTGATGCTACTGTAAAAGGGGTGGCTCCCCTAATTTCTCTAAATCACATGTCCCTCAGACAGAGGACTTATACCTAGAACACATAAACAATTGAAAAAAAATCAGGTGTCCCAAATTCAAAGACCCAATCCAAAAATGGGCATCTGAGATAAATACACATTTCAGATAAATACACATGACAAATAAATGAAAAAATGTTCATCATCAGGCATTCAAGAAATGCAAATTAAAACACTGAGATTCCATCTCACCCAAGAACAAATGGCTCTCACTAAGAAATCAACCGAAGAATAGCCAAGTGACTTTCCCTCATGTCACCTGTCATACCACCATGCCATGGACATGGTGGCTTGAGGTCGAATTTGCCCAGGGGCTTTGGGAACCCTCCATGCCCTAGTGAATCCAGCTGTGCACGCAGTCATGTACACCTATGGGCTGCATGCAGTGAAACCCTCCTACCAGAAGTATTAGTGGTGGAAAAAACTTTTGACATCTTCACAGTTTGCCCAGTGTGTTACTGTCACCATCCACAGGGGCCATATTTTTCTCATGGAGGACTGCAAATGAGTATCCAATTTTTACATGCATTACTGTTGTACGGGTGCATTTTTCTGATCCCTTTCCTTCATTTTTGGTACTGTGCTTACACGCGTCAGAGGCCACCAAAACCAGCAAGAAGTGGAAACTATAAAAACAAACAGTACTATAATACAGCATGTGAACCTGTGAGGGGGAAACAAACAAACAAACAAACAAAATCAACGAACAGTAAATGCTGGAGGGGCTGTGCAGAAGAACACACACTCCTACTGCTGGTGGGAGCGTAGACCGGTACAACCACGGTGGAAATCAGTGTGGAGGGTCCTCAAATAACAAGGAGTAGAGTTTCCACTTTGACCCAGCTCTTTCCCTGCTGGGTATCTTCCTGGAATTAAAAACATTGTACTACAGCAATATGTGTGCGCCCATGTTTAAGAAGCACAATCTTTAATAGCTAAATTTTGGAAACAACCCAGATATCCATCAACGAAGGATTGGATAAAAAAGATTTTTTTTTTTTAAAATAGGGTACTACTCAGACATAAACTTGAGATTTTTATAGGTAAATGATGCAACTCGAGAACATGCTCACATGTGAACTACATCAGCCCCACACGTGTACCCTCCATACTGTCTCACTAGCATGAGAAGCTAAGAGAGTTGAGAAGACACAAAGTGTGTAACAGATACTGTGAACTGGGGAGAAGCTGCTGAAAAGAACAGAAACTGATGAGGGAAAAGAAGGAAAGAGGAACAATTATATACACAAGATAGTTTGTACAGCACCTCACTGTCACATTCTATGCCTCCTACGCAATCACTGTTTCAGATCCACTAACCTACACTAGCCCGTCTCTCTGGGAGCTTCTCCAGGAGAGGACAAAGCTGGCCAGGTCTGGGAGGAGGGGCCTGCAGTGTGGGTCTAGGGCCGCTGGCGACTCTGGATCCCACTCCCAGGCCGACTCTCCTGAGCCCTCCCTGCCCTGCTGGGCCACACAAGCATCTCCTGTCCACGCCAACGGCCCCCACAGCGCAGCTTCGGACATGCAGGTGGCCACCACAACCATGCCCTGACCCTCCAGGGACAACCTTGTCCATCCGAGAGGCAGCTCTATGAGTGAGGCCTGGCCCCCTTGGTCAGTCCCAAGCTTCCAGTCCCCGCCCAGGATCCCTGTTGACCCAACCCAGCCCCAACTCCCAGCTGCCCGCACTGGCCACCCCCAGCTAGAGGGCCCAAACCCTTGCTCCCCACAACACAGTGCGCACGGCTCTTACATAAACTATTTTATTTAAATAAGTCCAGGGCAGCCCCTCTCCCACACACACTGGCACATGCACACGCACACCCGTCCTCCCAGCCTCACTCCCTGCCACCTATGGCCACCTCAAACCCCCAGGTTCTCATCGTGACCACACCTTCACCCCAAAACCAGGAAACCCGTGTCACACGGGGCCCGTCTTGGCAGGAAGAACCAGCTCTGCCGAGGCACGAGCTCTGCCCAGGCTGGCTCCTGAGCAGCAACCGAGGAAGGGCGAGGGCCCCCCCAGGCCACAGCTCCCTGCATCAGCAGCAGGGGCCACAGGGGCATCTTGTTCCAGGGAGAGCATTGAGCACCAGGTTCCAAATGCCACCACGAGAGGGTGCCAGCCAGCAAGGCCAGACTCCAGGGCTACAGCACACCCCGCCCACTGGGCGTTGGAGGGACCCGCTAGCACCTTGGCAATGTAGGACAATGACCAGGATCTGCCACACACGGCTCCCATCCCTGACGCAGTACCCTCAAGCCCCAAGAGGGCACGAGGTCCATCCTGTAGGTCACACATGGCGGGCCTGGCACCCACAGGCTGGGTCATCCTCCTCCCCAAGCTCCTGTGTCTCCCACACCAAGGGTCCCCAGGGACAGCCGTGAGGGGGATGAGGAATCACACAGAGGAAGCCAGGGTGCAGCAGGGTGGGGACAGCAGCCCGCCTCAGGCTGAGGGAGGCCCTGCCTCAGGGCTGCAGCAGCAGGCAAACTGGCCTCTCCCTGCAAAGACACCACAGGAGGACACTGCCCAGGGTGCTGAGACCCCTTAGGGACGCTGCAGTCAGCAGGAGCTACAGGCTGACACTGCGCTGGTGGCGGCCCCCACGTGCCCCGCTGTCGCTGTCCCGGTGAAGCCCAGGCCTGGGGCCCAGCTCCTGGCCATCCAGGCTGGCATGGTCTGACAGGCCACGCAGGTGCTCCACAGAGTCACACTTCTGCAGGTCGGAGGCCACCGTGCGCAGGCTCAGCAGGCTCAGCGAGTCCGTGTCGGGGCCCACACCTGCACCCAGGCCCACCTCCTCCGAGCCAGCCTCAGCCCCGCTGTCAGCCTCCTCAAGGCCTTGTGGCCCAGCCTCAGCACCCACCGGGGAGGAGCGCCGGGAGCACCGCGGGTTGACCAGGCCACGGCGCCGTGCGTGGATCTGCTCGCTGATCTGCTCCAGGTTGCGCAGGGCCACAGAGTAGCGGGTCTTGGCCTGTGCCACTTGCTGCTCCAGCTCTGTGACCTTGGCCTTGTGTTCCTGCAGGGTGGGACAGCCACTCCAGTCCCTGCGTCACAGCACCCACCCTCACCATGGCCACCAGCCCAACCTCCCAGCCTGCTGCCAGCACCCCCATCCCCTTGGCTACCTCCAGGATCTGGCTGAACTGGGCCTTGAGCTCAAAGTAGGGGCGGCTCTTCCCGATGGCCCTCCGGAGTGTCTTCTGCAGGGCCTGCACCCGGGCCTCCGCCTGCTGGCACAGCCGCGTCACCCGCTGATGCTCACGCTCGCCCCGCAGCCGCTCCTCCTCAGCCTCGTTCACCTGCCATGGGGTAGGGAGACCGTCCCTGAGCTGGCTTGCTTCGTGCCTGCCCAGGCTGCCTGGAGACCCAGGCAGGAGGAAGTTCCACAAATGCTGTGGTGTGGGGGGCCGAGAGGGGTCTGGAGCCTCTGCAGCTACCCAGCCTTGCGGCATCTGTGGCACTGGCCACTCAGTGCGGCCCTGCCAGCACAGGATGGCACCCTGTGCCCAGGCTGCAGTCAACAAGGGCTCCAGCTGTGTGCAGAGAGGGCACACAGAATGGGTGCCGCAAACCCAGGCCTGAGACCCCAGTCCCCGGGTCGCCAACCTTGGAAATCACATGAAGTACACCTCAGGAACCCAGGGTCACAGCAGAGCTCCAAAGCAGAAAGGAGACAGATCTCCCCAGCCAAGGGGTCCCATCACACACCTCTGGAGCCACCAAGTGCTCTAATTTGTTAACTGTATGGAAAACCAATGTTCTGAGCAAAGGGAAGCGAGCACACCTCTCGGAGCACCAAGACCCTCATGACTCCACCTAGCACCCTGCGCGCCACATTCGTCCGTGCACAAGCAACAGCCAGAGGCTGATCCATCCGAGCAAGGACCCACGTCACAGGGACCGTGACACACAGAGCCCCAGGACAACAGGTGGAGGAGGGCCAGCTCACCTTGCAGGTGGCATGGTTGAGCATCTCCTGCCAGGTAGGGTCCAGGCGGTTCTTGTCGGCCATGACACCCTGCTCGGCCACGAAGACCATCTCGCGCGCCGCGTTGTGCATACTCACTGCCCGCTCATAGCGTAGTGCTGCCTTCTGCGTCTCCTGCTGGGCCTGGGGGTGCGGGCATGTCAGGATGTCGGGGTGGGTATCCCTGAGGGCCTCATGCGGAGGGCCAGGACCAGGCAGGCAGAGCCCACCCCTGCGGCCAGAGCCTCCTCCAGGGGGCAACCCCAAGCAGGACCTCACCAGCTACCTCCCTGTACCTGGCCCAGGGCGCCCCCGTGTGGCCCTGTGCAGCACGGCACGGCCCCTCCTGAATCCTTTCCAGGCGGTCACCTGTGCCCAGCTCCCTGGCACCAGAGTAAACAAATACCAGGCATAAGATGGGACGTGCATGATACAATTCTGGGTGCCAGGGGGCTGAGTGAGAGTTAGACAGAGGAAGCGACCCGAACCCACCATGAAGAAGGAGGAGAAATGGGGGAAAGGAGCTGGTAGCTGGCCACAACAGGCTTGCCCCAAGGAAGGATCCCAGCCCGCAGGACCTCAAGGTCACAGGAGGGGCTGCGCAGTGGGGCACCTGCCCAGCCCCGTGAGGCCAGGGTCTGCACCCCAGGATCACAAGAAGTACAACACCGTCGTACCTCCTTGGCTAGCCGCCGTGCCTCATAGTAGGGCCGGGCCTTCTCTATGCAGCTGCCCAGGTGGGAGCCCTGTGTATTGAGCTTCCGAGCTGACTCCTGCAGGATCCTCCGGTAGGTGGTCCTGGCTTCCTGGAGAAGGGATGGTGCGGTGGGCCTCGGGCACACCCCTTCCTCCTCCTCTCTACCAGGACAGCCCCGGGTGTGGAGACAGCTAGATACTCACATCGAGCTGCAGCTCCACCTGGTTAATCTCCTCGCTGGCCTGGTTCAGGTGCTCCAGTTCTTCCTGCCAAGGAGGAGGGGATGGTGAGTGACGGCTGGCAAGGTGAGGGGGACAGCGGAGGCCAGGAATGGGTAGCCGGAAGGACCCGACTTCCTGGCCTCTCCCTGCTATCCTGGCAGGGCTGGGGCTCACTGTTGCTTCCCGAAGGCAGGGAGCTGTCTGCAGGAGGCTGAGGCTGCAGTGCTTGTCTGCCGATGATGTGGTGCCAAGCCTCTGGCCTCCCCACCTTTCTCTACCACTTCCTGTCAAGGTGGGGTCTCTCCAGGATGACCCCCTGGGCCAGGAGGGCAGGTCCCTGGCACAGCTTCCAATGCACGCACTGCCCCTTGGCACCAGATCCAAGAACCTAAAGCACAGCGGGCCGTGACCCCTGATCACCAGGCAAGGCTCTTGAAGCACATGGGGCTCTGTGAGGGTAGGAACTGCACCTGGGCAGCGGGGTCGGCAACTGAGGTGGAGCAGGGCACACAGGAGCGCAGCATGCGGCCTGTGGAGCCCAGTTCTGGCTGAGGACGGGGCCCAAGGAAGGCAGAAGGCTCTCAGAGAGGAAAGGGAGGCCACCTGCCTATGGGGTCCAGGCGGGAGAGCAGGCAGGGCTGGGGTGCACGGCAGCGAGGGGGCTTCGGCAAGCAGGCTGTGGGGGAGAGGCCACAGGCCGCCCACAGCTTTGCAGATGGCAAGCCAGGTGAGACACTGACCTCAGTCACCCACCCCCCCAGGGAAGGTGGCCGAGTTCCTGGAACCCTAAGCACTGAGGCCCCTTTCAGGAGCAGGGCAGGCTGCACGGAGGCCCTGCCCGGAGACACCTGGGGCCAGGACAGGCTCTGCCCCAGGGGCCCGGCTGGCACTGCCTGCTCTGCCACCCTTCTAGCAGCCCTAGGGGAGAGACTGGGTGGCCTGTGTGACCTCCCCAAGGTACGACTGGATTCTGGAAGATCCAAGCCAGCAAATGAGAACACAGGGGGCTGGCTGGTGCACTGCGGACGCACACAGTAACCTGCACCGGACTGCACCCGTGGCAAGGACACGCTCACGTGTGTGACCCTGAGACCCTGCCTCAGAAGCGTGTGAAACGTGCTCAACAAAAATATGGTGTGGGCTGCACAGAGAATTTTAATTTTATTTATTACTGGTGGCAGAAATCAAACTCAGGACCTGGAGGTTGCAGGCAGGCGCTGTGCCACTGAGCTATCTCTCGGCCCAAGATTTTAGTTTTAGAGCAACCCCCTTTTCACAAAGTAATAATCATGTAAAATAACAAACTGTAGTACATTTCACCTAACCCAATACATCTAAACTGTTACCGTTTCAACATGCAGTCAATTTAAAACTTAATTATACTTCACTTGTTTGAATGAAGTCTCGAGACACCTGCCTGAGGAAGCTCAGCCTGGGCAGTGTCCCGAGCTCCTAGGCTGGGCCACGCAAGGCGGAGCTAAGCAGGTCATGCATGGGCTAGCACCGAGCGCACACCACTGCGGCGGCACAGGGCAGCCGCTGCGGCTTGGGACCAGGGCTGTGGGGCGGCGCCTGGCCCGACACACAGCTCCTTGGGCAAGGCTTCCTGTGACTCCAGCCGCAAGGGGTGCCTGCCAGCGAGGAGGCAGCAGCCAGTCCTCACCGAGCTCCCGCCCCCTCGTCCTCAGGGCACTCCCATCAGCCAGGTGAGAACCGGCGAGGCAGCGAACTTCAGGGAGAACCAGGGCTGGAGCCACAGCAACCTTGGACCTCCTTTCTGGCCACAGTGACCCCATCCTGGGACTGAGGTCTCTCTCCTAGGAGCACCTCACACAAGACAGAAGCACTGTGCTGCAGGGGAAGCCAAGCCTGGGCAGCAGAGGCCGGGCCTTGGGCCCATCAGCACCGATGGGCAGGGAGAAGGGCGGGCGTGGACACCACCTGCCCGCAGGGCTCCCAGGAGAGGCACACCTGCTCCTGCCACACGAGGCAGAGGAGCAACGGCCAGCACGTGCAGCCCTGAGTGACGCCAGCTCTGCCACTGGCAGCAGGAGTGGCACTGCTTTGTACTCGGGGCCACAACCAGGCTGGCACCTTCGCACTTACAAAGAAACCCTGCTGGCGAGGGTGCCCGGGGAGGGCAGGGAGCAGGGATCTGGCCAGGCTGGGTGACTGCGCTGAGCACGCAGGCGCCGGCTGGGGCAGGCAGCGACGCATACCCCTCGGCAATGTGCCAGATGCCCGCACTCAGCCACGGTGCGATCGGGAGGCTGACGCCTGAGTCAGCGTTGTCAGCAAGCATCAGCCGGCTGGGGTGACCTTCCGAGGCACACCAGGCACCTTCCAGGTGCCACACACCACTGAGTCACAGGCGGGCACTGGGGCTAGATGCCCCACCCCTGCTGGGTCAGCATGGGCTCAAAGGGAGGCTGGCAAGGGGTAGTGCTGACTGAGAGGGGAGCAGTATTCCCGGGGGACACCTGAGGGAGTCCTTGCGTCTGAGGAACCAGTCACTCAAGGACCCTTTTGCAGGGAGATCTCTCCCTAAGCTGTAGGGCAAGGCCAGGGGCACTGGGCCCTGACTTGGAGCCTCTGCCAATGGCCTCGCTGCAAATAAGGAACACGCTGGTACGGGTAGGGTCTCCTCTGCCTCAGACCCCTTGCCCCGCAGGGCCAGATGCCCACAGGGTCCCCACCCCAGACAACGCCCATGGCACTTCCAGCCAGCCCAGCCCAAGGATGGGGAAGGGCATGTGTACAGCTCCCTGGAGGGTTTTGATGGATCTGTGGGCAAGTACCCATAATGCGCTGAGAAGCCACACAAACACAGTCCACACTAAAACGCCTCGAATGACACAAATCCCCTCCCCTCGGGAACCCAACACAGAAGGCTGGGCTGCCCTGGCCTCCTGGTGCAGGACCCTGTCCCACCAGCCTCTCCCACACCTGGGCCCGCATCACCCACGGCATACAGCGTACCACACAGCTCAGCCAGAGGAACGTGGCCCCTCACCCTCCGTGTCAGCCACATCACGGCACCTGCTGGCCTCTTGGGCTCCTGTGACCCTCACAGAGTTCACCTGTCAGCACTGCACAGAAATTTCTGCCTTACTTTGTTGATTTTACTGACAGAGAGTGCGTGCAGCTGAGGGCCACCTCTCCTGAAGGGGCAGAGCAAGGGTGATTCCCACCCCTCGTCCCCTGCCCATGTGGACCCTGGAGAAGAAGATGGAGAGCAGAGAAACACAGCGGACCTGCTCGGACCTGTTCCTAGAATCCCTTTCCCAGCACAGCAGGGAGAGCTTCCCGGAGGGCCAGGAAGTGCCATCGCACAACCCTCCATTTCCAGGAATAGAGACCCCACCACACACACAACACCTTCCAAGCCCTCACCACAAAGCAAGCAAAGGCTGGGCGGGCCAGTGCTCACCTGTGATCCCAAAGCTCTGGGAGGCCGAGGCAGGAGGATCACAAATTTATACCCAGACTGGTGACCTGCGATTTAGTGAAACCCTGTCTCAGAATGAAAGATTAGGAACAAAAAAGGGGGAGGTGTGGCTTAGTGTGAAGGTGCTGAGTTCAGTCTCCAGCAATGAACAAGGGGAGGGGGTAAGAGGAAAACCAACAAGAATGTGACCGAACAACAAACAGACCCACATACAAGAGCACAGTAAACATAACCTGCAAAGCTGCTAGGTGGACCCTTCACTCAACAGCAAGTAAGCTGAGTTAATAACGTTCACAAAGTCACAGAGCAAGGAGTTGAAGATTGCCCAAGCCATGCCCAGGACTTGTTTCTCTACAACTGCTCCCCACTGGGCCACAGACCACTGAGGACAAGCAGGAAAAACAGTTGTCTCAACACAGCAACCTGCAGCACTGCAGGACAAAAGTGCCCACTCCAGCCACAAACCACCGCTCCCCACTGCTCCCAGGGGAGCCGAGCACATCCAAGAGGGGCCCCCACACCCATGCGCGCACTCCCTGGGGCCCTACGCAAGGCCTGAGGGGTCAGTGCTGGCCGATTTCTTCCCACCTCCCTGGAGTCGTCCAATCTGGTTGGCGGACAGCAGTGAGGACCCTAACCCTGGACACCCCTGCTCCACGAGAGGGGTGTGAGTCACTCAGCACCAGCCGCACAGGACACCACCTGTCCCAGCAGCTTCCCAGGAAGCCCATCTCCCCCAGGGCACCTCTGCCAGCGATGCGAGCCATCCTCCCCCACAGCCCTGAGCTGCCCGCTTCCACTGCCAGTGTGGCTTCTGCTGCCAACGTAGCTTGTGCTGCCAATGTGGCTTCCACTGCCCCTCTTTCAGTGCAGGGGGCGTCCCCTGCACCACCACCAGCCCTTCCGGCGCACACTGCTCCTGATGCTGGTCACAGGACACAGCGACAGTGTACGCTCATCACCAGGTGGCTCTGCAGAGGGCTGCAGCCACGCTCACTCTCTCCCCCAGGTCTTCTCACCTGGATCCGAGGGTCCAGTTCTTCCTCCTCTCTTGGTGACAACTTGGGCTCGCTGCTGCTGCCGCTGCCGCCACCACCAGGTTCCTCTGCCCCTGGGCTCCCGGGTACTTCGTCCTCCACCACCTCAGGCCGCAGCTCGCCTTGCGGGGTCTCCCGTCCCCCTGGGACCTGCCTCAACTCTGCCATCGGCCCCGAGAGGGCAGAGCCCTAGGCACAGGGCAGGGCCAACATACTAGAACCTGGGCCCCAGCAGGGGGCTTCCTGGGCTTTGGACGGCCAGAAGGCTTCTCAGCTCAAAAGGCGGACCAAGGCGTGAGGAAGGTCACTCGCGGGCTGGAGGCCGAGCCTCCAGCTGTCGAGGATTGCTGGTACTAAGGGTTGTATGCGGACGCGGTTCCCTCCGCACCACAGAGCGTCCACCGGGAGTCTCCGGAGCCACAGCCCCGAAGCCACAGCCCCGAAGCAGGGGGCAGAGGGGGCCTGGATGCTGGGCCAAGTCCTGCGCAGGGGAGCACCATTCGGGAGGCCGAGGCAGGCGCGCCTCCAGGCTGTGGGTGGTGAAGGCCGGGCGCGGAGCTGTCGGACGATCGTCTCCCGGGAACTGCACAGAGAGAGAGACAAAGACAAGACTGGGGCCGCGTCCGCATCCGACCTCGGCCTCCGCGCTTCCAGGCCCAGTCCCGCAGTCCCAGCCCGACCCGCTCAGCCCCGGGGCCGGCCCGTCGCCGCGCCCCCTTCGCTCCTCCGGATTAGGATGCAGCCCCAGCCCGCCTCACCCCTCTCGGCGAGCAACCACGACCTGCGCCTCCCGTCCAACCGCTCCGCCGGCCCAAGGACCAACCCCGGCCTCTGCACAACCAGGCGCAACGGTCCCGGTGCAGTCTTACCTCGACTTACCCTCCGGTGCGAGGAGCTCTTGGATAGCAAACAACCTGCCCCCGCCCTCCCCGCAAGAAGCCGGCCCAACCAAACGCGACGGAGCAGGCGGAGACGGAAACGCGTAGCACGCAGCCCTCCACGCGCCCGCGCAGGCCCGCCCAGTGCGGACTCTCGCGCCGCCGGCCCGGCCGCCTGTTTCCGTACAACATGGCGCCCCCCCGTTCAGCGCATTCTGACGTTGCTCCCAGCCCACCCTTCAATTAAGCCGACTAAAAAGAAATCAGCATATGCTTATGATGAAAGATAGCACAACATATGGAGACTGAGAGCTCCTCATGAGTAGAAGAAAGCTAGAAATGCCACGGAAGTTAGGAAAATCGCTTCACAAGAGGGCTGCCATCTTGTCTGGCCCGGCCGTAAGACACCGCTTCCGGTGTCGACCCGGAAGGCGCCGGAGCCACGCCGGAAATGAGCTCACGGGCTTCTGGCCAGTACCGCGGCCGCTGGAAGGAAGCCGCCTTCCCGGAGTCGTGTTCCTCACTGCAGTGAGGTCAGCGTCCCCTGGCGGGGCAGTGCTGCTGAGCGAGCCCCCCTCGCCTTGCTCGGTCCCGCGGCCTCGCCCAGAGCGTGCCTCTGCCCCGCTCACCCCGCCGCGCCGCTCGCGGGGGGTGGTCGCACCGAGCGGGCCGCCCGAGCGCGCGAGGGAGGGCGGGGGTGGGGAGCGGCGGTCGGCCGGGCGCCCCCTGCGCGTCAACCCCAGACGCGGCTGGGCTCGGTTACCGCGGTGGAGACAGTCGGCGAGGGAGCGGAGCCGGGAGCTGTGGGCGGGCCGGCTGTCGGCTGGGTACCGGCGGGCTTCTGTCCAGTGAGGGAGCAGCGCTGGACAGCACCGGGGAGGCAGCGGCAAGAGAGAGCCCGGTGTGGTGGCACGCGCTCGTAATCCCAGCCTTCGGGGAGGCCGAGGCAGCCGAATCCCAAGTTCTGGCCCAGCCTGGGCATCTTAGGCAAGTTGAAAAAGCTTGGAGTGTAACAGTGTGAAGGCACGAGTCAATCCCCAGTACCCCAAAAGAAAAGAAAGGAAATTTTATTCAGGATCCTGGAGATAGATATTGCCACCGATTTAACGATATCGTGTTGTGGAGAAGAGACAGTGGACGAGGGGCCGGCGAGATAGCTCAGCAGACTAAAGCGCCTGCTAGAGGCGAGTTTAGGCAAAGCCCAGGGACCAGGGACCGCGGCCCAGTCCGCAGCACCACATGCTGAGTCCTGGCGTAGTGGTACACGTCCTGTAATCCCAGCGCTGGGAGGCTGAAAGCGGAAGGATCACCATGAGTCCAAGCTGCATAGTGAGACCCTGCAACAACCAACTGCACTGAGACAGTGGACTCCGCTCTAGCGAAAGGCTAGAGGAGCAGGAATTTATAGCGAAGGAGACGTGTAGGGGTCTATAGAAAATGACCAAGAGGAAACAGCAAGCAGGATGGGTAAACCAACTCCAAAGGACTAGTCGGAGACAAATCCTGGACAAGGAAGGGACTTTTTTTCTAAATCCTGTGCTAGGTTCTGTGCTGAGACTAAATTTTACAAGGAGGTACATAGATGGCTTTGAGAAAAGGTCCCAAAGCCTAAGGAAAGTGTAAACAGAGTCTTTGTTACATCTGCGGAGATAGAGGCCGTGATAAGTCCATGGCCAAGGGAGGGCTCGTAGGTCCCTTAGAAGCACACCCTTTTGTTGTTACTGCATACCTTAGAGAAAGACTTTGAGGAGTTGGTTCTCTAGTAAATGCTGTAAGACAGGGCGGCCAGGAGTCTGCCGGGATAGACACAGTTCTGTTCCAGGTGCTGGCTAGAAAGAACTAGTCAAGTGTGGCAGGTCAGAGCTTGCTCAGGAGGCATTTTAACGGACGAAGAAGGGCTGGGGTCACCCTAGGAATGGCTGTGCTAGAGTTCGCTTGTCTTGGCGCAGATGTTGGGGCACTGTGCTAGGAGTTCCCTGTTCCCTCCTTCCATTGAACCTCTGAATGACCCATGTTGCAGATAAACAGCACAGCTCAGTGGTGAGTACTTGTCTGGCATGCGTGTAGCCTTGAGTTCAATCCCAGCATAGGCAACATAGGGAGCGAAAAAAAAGGTAATTTAAAAGATTTTTTTCCATAAAGTTGGAAGTTTTAGTTTTCGGGGTTTTGTTTTCCTTTCTTTTTTCTTTTTTTGTCAGTACCAGGGATTGAACTCAGGCCCTTGCACTTGCCAAGCAAGCTCTTATTCTACTGAGCTACCTCCCCAGCCCCTGTTTTTATTTCCTGAGGACAAACTCAGCAACCCTCCTCTCTCAGCCTCCTGAATGCCTTAGGGTTGCAGGTATACACCACCATACCCAGCTTTTATTTTATTTATTTATTTTTAGACAAGGTTTCCCTGTGTCATCCAGGTTGCCCTCAATCTGGAAATAGATTATAGGTGTGAGTCACCCTACCTAGTTGGGCAAGTTTTAGTTTTATAATTCCAAAAGTGAGGTGCCGGAGAGATGACTCAGTGGAATAAGCACTTCCCTGGCAAGTGCAAGGGCCTGAGTTCAATCCCCAGTCCATGCCTCCCCCCCCAAAAAAAAGAATAAAATTCCAAAAGTGGAGAAGACTCTGAAAGTGACTTTTATTCCAGTGGGTCAGCAGGACCCCAGGCAATGGTACTTTAGTGAACACTGCTGGATAATAATTCCTCAGTTTTCTGCCACATTCAAAAGCCATGAAAGTCACGTACAGAAGTCAAACGTAATTTATTAGATTCTGTAAAACTAGAGTTTCACTGTGGTGACCCCGTGCAGACACGATGGACCAGAGCGTTTCTCTAGAGCATTGACATCCAACAGACCTTTGTGCAACAAAGAAAGTGCTGTGCATCAGCTCCAGGCAGGGTGGTTCTTGTAGTCCCTGAGCTCAGGAATGGAGCTGGTGCAAAGGAAAGTTGTTATGTAAACAAGTGGTGGTTCCCATTTGTACTACATCCTGAGTGCATTCTGAGCACCCACATCTTCAATAAAAACAGTGTTCATCATCCCTGCCATTGTCTCATCTGCACTCCCTCCCTCTGCTGGCCTCTGCTGCTGGGTCTATGACAAGTGCACAGGGAAACGAGCTTCATTTTCTAGACCAAGGTAGAAAAAGAGTAGGCAAGCACATAGGGCTGGGCCCCCAGGGCTCAATGCAGAGACGAGAATGCATCAGGACTGGCTAGAGCCGGTCTGATGATGAAAATCACGTTTGCTAGGTTTCTGTAACTCCCAAGGAAGTGGAGGCTTGGGATTATTGGCGTGACCCTTCTGAGATTTCTCATCACTGGGAAGGGTCATCCTCTCCCACCCACTGCACTAAGGCTAAAGGCCAGACAGACACACATCATGGATCAAGGTTAATGGTGCCACCATGTACTCTGCTATCCCTGGAGCAGTGTGACCTGAGCAACTGTACTTGCCGTCTTACTGGTTGATCAGAATTTTAACCCGTGTTTTATCTACCTCACAATTTTGTTCTATAAAACTTCTTTTGAGAGGTGGGGTCATTGGCAACCCATTTGGGACCGCTCCTGTCTCTCGGGAGCTATTCTTGTTCCCCATCACCAAATCCTTATTCCTGATTTCTCCAGTAAGGTCTCTCACTCTTAACCTCCATTGTTCCTTAGCATTCATTCGACTTTTGGAGACACGAGCTCAACGTACTTGACATCGAGCATTTCTCCTGTATCATTAAAAGAGCCAAGTTATGACTCTGAACGCTGGGTTTTTCTCTTGCTCCTTTGTTAACCTTTACCTCTGTGCCCTCAGTTTCCTCTTTGCTAGCCAGTAGATTCCTTCTTTCATGCAACACAGTATGTCTTTACCGAAAATCTGTTCTATGCCAAGATTTTAGGAGATGGTCAGCAAAATGACACAGTCCCAGTTCCCGTGTAACTTAATCTTGGTCTCCATTTTATAACCTTTGCTATCTGATTTACTTGGAAACAACTCAGAAATACCCTCATTAGTCACTATACATGTATGCATGCAAAGCTTCAGAGAAAGGTCTTCACTCAAGTTATATGGAAAATACATCAATACTTTACACTTTTTTATTTGAAAGAGATAATGACATAAAATTTCAAAACAAGATAATAGAGTAAAAATGGTTAATACATTGTGCCTTGTTACCTTCAAAGTAGTTACTCGGGGGCCAGAGAGATGACTCAGTGGAATAAGCGCTTGCCTGGCAAGCACAAGAGCCTGAATTCAATCCCCGGTTCCACCAAAAAAAGAGTAGTTACTCAGATTACAAGATATAGGCATGAAAAATTGATCAAACAATAAGTGCAAACCTTTATTTTTGACTTATTTATTTATTGTATTTTTTAGTACAGGTTCTACAGAGTTTCACTACACAGATCCAACTCGTAGTGATTCTCCTGTTTTCAGCCTCCCAAATGCTGGGATTACAGATGCGCACCACCACGCCCAGTCTCAGTCCCCACTCAGCATGCCCCAGGGGTTGGGCCGGCACAGCACACTGGGGACCAAACCCCAGCCACTGCACTCAGCCTAAGCAGGTACTTTCGTCCGTTGAGCTATCTGGACGGCCCACAAACCTTTCTTTTCATTGAACTAAGAAATAGTTTAACTGATTTATATCCTTTTCCCCTCCTTCTCTCTTTCCCTCATCGCAGTTTCTCTTACCTTTTGAAAAGTTTCTTCCCAATTCCCAGTTATCTATTGTACATTTTGGATCTTATTTTCTCTTTCAGCCTCTCATACTAGGGAGACAATATGATGTTTACATACACAAGACTGATTTATTTCACTTGGTGTATGGTGTCACATTGCATCCATTTACCTATAAAAGTCTCAAGTGTATCTTTTATGACTGAGCAGTACTCCATTGTATAAGAACACCACATCGTTTTTATCCATCTCTCTGTTGATGGGCATTTGGGTTGTTTCCAGGATTTAGCTGTGACAAGTTGTGCTGCGGTGAACACAGCTGCACATGTATCACTGTGCTATGATTTCTTGCTTCTTCTAGGAAGGTAGAAGGGGAGCAGCTGTGTCAAATTGCACCTCTAACCCTAGTTTTTGAGGAATCTCCATATCAATTTCCTCAATGGTTGCACCAGTCTGCACTCCCACCAAAGGGTTCTTTTGCCCCCTCAGCGTGCTCTATTTGATATTAGTTGACTTTTTTTTTTTTCCAGTACGGGCGATTGAACTCAGGACCTTGTGTGTGCCAGGCAAGTGCTTATTCTACTGAATTATCTCTCCAGCCCCTATTAGTTGATTTTTTCATGATAGACTTTCTTGTATGAGACAATCTCAGGGATGTTTTAATTTGCATCTCTTGCATGACTGATGATGCTGAACATTTTTTTCATATATTTACTTGCCATTTGTATTTCCTCATCTGAGAAATGTGTGTTCTTCTCAGCTGCCTATTTTTTTTTAACCTTTTCACGGATTACTTGCATCCTAAAACAGAGATATGCAGTGTGCCGTAAGTTCAGCTTCCTTCCCCAGGGTTTGTCAAAGCCGGAGTAACAGTGTTGCCAATAACACGGTAAAACGAAGTTCATAGATAGGCAGTGATGATCCCCATCCATAGGCTACCTGCATTATTCGTATGTTTCACAAATAGAAACTCAAATTCACAAGGACATCCATCGAATAAAAAGAAATCGATGCTCAGTTTGTTGTTAGAGAAGCAAACTAGAGAATAATTTCACAAAGATATATGTGGATATGATTAGAAGAGTTAACAACTTTGCATGTATTTGTATTTGTGAATTCTCTGCAAATGTAACACTGATAAAAAGGGCTTAAAGCGTGTGGATATGTGTGTCATCAATACCGTAACTGTTAAATATTAGAAACAGCTTCTCTGTTGGCAATCACTATCTGAAGAGAAGACTAATTTATACAACAGTGTTATGGGGGTAAAAATCAGTTGTTCTCCTATTAACCTATCTCTCAAAGGCATTTCCTGCTTAGAAAATTAAAATCTTTTGGATCGAAGAGTTGATTAGCTGTGTTTAAAACCATTGTCTAGGGGCCAGGAAGATGGCTCAGTAGGATAAGCCCTTGACTGGCACACGGAAAGATCTGAGTTCAATCCCTGGTTCCGCCAAAAAAAATAAAACCATTGTCTATCTCTTAATTGCTTTCTTGTAGCATTGTCCTCAGGGGCGGGAGGGTTTTTACCACCCGGAAGGCAGTGGCAGCGAGGGGCCGGACTGGGAGGGGGCGAGGCCGGTGTGGCTGGTGACCACAGGGGAGACCTGCCCCGCACCCCACCTATCGTTGGTGCGACAGCCTTATTCACATGGGGCCCTGCCCTGAGCAGAAATGCACCAACAGACATGCGGTGCGCGGGGCGGTAGGACAGGGTGACCGAGCGTGAGACGCCAGCCGAGTTGACGGCGCCGCCAGCCTCCCTGCTCAGAAGCTACCGCACCGCACCCTACACGGCTGGGCGGCACTTTAATGCCCGGTCCTGCGCAGAGCCCCGCAGGGCGGCCAGCCTCCCTCTTTGGATGCTTGGGCCACTCGGGGCTTTTTTGCTTCTGCCCAGGTCAAAGGAGTGGAGCATGACCTTGAACAGTGTGTTCTCCTCACCCACCTAGCCACGCGGCATGATTCCTGACAAAGGCCACCGGTGTGAAAGCCCAGTCTCCGAAGACTGTTAGGATGGTTACTGGCACAGGCTGTGGCACTCTTGTGAGAGGGATTCACACCAGCTCGTCGCAGGGCAGGCCGGATCTGGAGCCCAAGGAGCAGATGCGTCTCAAGCTGGGCCTGGTTTCACATCCCTTTGCTCAGAATTCCTTCACCTGCTCACCTCCTAGAACAGGGCTTCAGGCTTATTCTAGGGCAGGGACCGCTGTTGCCTCTGATTTTCACCAGTTCACAATAATGCCAAGTGAAGGGTGGGGCCGGGAGAGCGGGGTTGTTTTTGGGTCCTTTGAAGCGTTTTTGAGCAAAGGGGTGGGTTCCGGATGGGAAAAGAAAACTACAGAATGTACAGTAGTAAAGTAAGGTAGAGTGAACATCTCTGAGCTGCGCGCTGTCCGCTGCGAGGCCTGGCCTGCTTGACTGGTTCCAGGCCACCTAGGGACCCTGAGACAACTGCAGGCAAGCAAGCGTGCAGGGGGGCTCCTAGAGGACAGCCCCTTCCTGGACGCAGCTGCAGCTCCCCACTCCCCCACCCGGCTTCAGTCCCCTTTGGGGAACAGTTTCATCTGCTGACCCAGGGCTGAGGCCTCTGGGGAACCTGTGTGATGGCCACCTCTCTTTCTGTCCCATACTTGGCCCCATCCCGACTCTCAACTGGCTCGTGGGGGACCTGAGGTTTGCTGTAGGCTGGCACCACCTCCACCTCAGAGCATGGCTGGGGACACAAATATGTCTGTCCTGTTGTGCTCAGATGTGTGTACTGGTTGGGATGGCCTCACCCTATGAGTGGTGGACGGAGCAAGTGTGTGCGACACCACCCTGACTCCGCAGCAGAGGTCCTAGGTGTCACTGCAGATGTCATCTTCCCAGAAGAGTCGTGGCTCCTCTGGAGGGGGCTGTCAGGGTGTGGGCCTTGGGAAAGGGGAGGGGAGACCCTGTACCTGTCAAGGGGGCTCCGAGGTCTCCCATGTTCAGCTGCCATCTTCTAACCAAAGCCTTCCTTGGCCAAGAGTTGGGCCACCTTTCCTATGTAAGTTGCTCCAGGACTTGGAAAGGTCATTAGGACGGACTGACCAATAGAAGTAAAATGCAAGTCACACCTGCGATCTTAAATTTCCTTAAAAACAGGTAGATTTTTAATAGGCCTTTAAGGCCTGGGGAGATAGCTCGGTAGAATAAGCACTTGCCTGGCAAGCGCAAGGTCCTGAGTTCAATCCCTGGTACTGTAAAAAACAAACAAAAAAAGAGTAATAGGCCTTTATTTAACACAGTATACCCAACAAGCCGTCATTTAGACCCTGACCAGCGTCAGGTGTGGTGCACGAGGTGTGCAGTAGCTCCACAGGTAGTCTTTCCTGGTGGCTGCTAGCCCAGCCCTACTGGGTCCTCTCAACTTTGCTTGCTTGCAGCCCAACTGACACCCAACTCCAGCTTCAAGGCAGGAATGGTGAGATGTCGCCTGCTGCCTGCAAATCCTGATATCCCGGCCTTTCCTCTCACCCAGGAGGCATTGGCATGGTGCAGCAGGTACCCAAGGAAGAAACCCTACTGCGCCTGGAGCAACTCAGGAAAATCCCTCAGCGTGGGTGGGCTGTTAGCAATCTGAACCCTGACTTGTAGCCTTCCTGACTCACTTTCTAGTTAGAACTGGTGTGAAATACCTGTGACATCTGAGACACAACGCAATAAAGTGATCTGCGAAGTACACAAGTTTATCTTGAATCGGGAAAGGATTTCCCAAGAGCTGATCTCAGAATGCACTTCTAGTACTTACATGGATACTAACTTGTAAATGGCAAATGCTCGAAGGCCACTCAAGTACTCTATTCAACTCCACGTAATCACCCCTTTCCCTTTTCCTAGGCTCCCTGTATGTTCTCTTCTACATAAAGTGAAAGAAAACTGGTGGCCTTGGACCTATGCTCAGAGGGGTGATGCAAGGACCGGTCTAGAAGTGGATCTCTCCGGACACAGTAGTCTTTCAGGTTTGGACACAGAACGTGCACCCTGAGCTCCTGCTGAGCGCCATGCGGGCTGTGGCAGAGGCTAGCAGGGCCACTGTGGGGCCGGGAGCCGCTCTGGGCACTAGACCTGCACCCTGCACTCTAGAAGGAACAGAAGGGGCACTTTGGCTGCAGCCCTCTACGCGCACACACTGGTGTTCTGTGGCTGTCTCACCTCCCTGGCCATGGGCTGGGGAGTGGCTGGGCTCCAACAACATGGGCTGCCCAAAGGTGCGCTCCCTGGACGCCGCGGGAGGCAGGCTCACTGGGTGCTAGCGCTGCTGCCTTCCAAATCTGGTATCGGCCACTGGGTCTCTAGGGACTCTGTTCCTGGACAAACAGCCCTTTGGACGGTGGGCAGCTGGAATCAGCAGCCAAGCCAGGTAATTGGGTGAAAAGCTCCCTCCAGGATCCAGGATACCTACTCTGAAGGTACACACAAACCAAAGCTCCTAGGAAGGGTAGGCTGAGGCAGGACGCTCTCAAGTGGGTGGCTTGCTCTCCAGGGGTAATTTGCCCTCCAAATGAAAAGGGCTGGGGTGAATGCTGAACCACACAGCAGTTGCCTAGCTGGTATGATAACTCAGATCTGATTGCCAGCAGCAGCAGCAGCAGTGGGTGGCAAATGTGAAACAAAACGCATAGTCAGGGACCACAAGTTACAATTGCCTTGCCTTGTGGGCTGGCTGGAAAGTGGAAAATCCCACTTTCTCCCAGCCACGGATGAGGCAGCCTTCAAGGCCCCTCGCCTTGGCTTCAGCAGACAAGACCACACCTGCGGAGGCAGGATGACAAGGATTTTTAGAACAACGCAGAAACAGTAGTGAGCTTTGCTTGGGAGAAAAGTGTTCCTTTGTGAGGCCTTGCTGCATCCTTGTTCTTCACCAGCCCCAGCCTGCGCCCCTGCTGTTCCCCCCTCGCTTGCTCGCTGCCCCTCCATGTGTGCATACGTGCCCCAAAGTGGCCAGCCGGAGGTCTCTGTCCACCCTGAGGTGCTAGTCGCCCAGCCCCCCTTTGTGCATCCTATTGTCCATCTTACTTCACCCTTTGCCATGCCCCAGGCAGCTAGGATCATGGCCAGGTTCCCAGAGCATCTTTGCATGAGTTGTTTGGGGTTAAAATATCCCACAGCCACCCCCCAAGCGACAAGGGCAGCCAGGCTCACAGTGTTCCCTTGCCATCCCAGCCCTTGAGGCTGAGCTTGGCAGGCCACGAGCTCCAGGCCAGCCTGGGCCACAGCAAGCTTGTCTCTAACAAAGAAACAGAGAGGAGTGCAACAGCATCACAGGTGAGGCGAGGCTGGCAGAGCGACCATGACATTGTCCTCCCTGGGTTTCACATTTGAGAACGTCCCCTAAAAATGTTTTGCCAGAACCCATGCCCCATGCCTCGCTCAGTTTGATTCCCCGCTTCCCTCTCACTTCACCCCAAAGGTCCAGCACATCCCCTCTGGGAGCGTGAGGAGCTGTCCAGTGGCCGCTGCTGTGGGTCTGCTGCCCTCAAATCTTTGTTCTTGGTCCCATCTGCAGCCACAAGACTTGGGCTGTCCACGGGTGCTGCTCTGTGCTCTCCCTGCGGTAGTCTTCATGCATGCTAATGATGAACTTTCATCTACTGAGGTGACCGCCCTGACAGGTGCCACAGGGCCATGCTGGAGAGAGGAGGACAGGACTGTGGGCCTCTAGGAAGCAATGAGACAGCCAGCTTGGGGGTCTTGCCCTGGGGAATGAAGACCTGGTCCTCGAAGTGCTGGTCATTCCCTGGGGCTGAAGTGGCGAGCAAAGCCCTAGCACTCTGAGGCCCCAAGGGGCAGCCTGGTCCCCAGTCTCTCCTCTCAGAGATGCTGGGGCTGCCTGGGTCATGCTGCCACCCATGTGCTTGTGAACTAGACACACTCCTTTCCACCTCCCTGCCCTGCATCTGGAGGTGCTTTCTGATGCTGGGGCTGGTTGTGGGGTGTTTTGCCAGATGCTGCCAAAGCATGCTTTGGGGTGTCCCACCTGTGGCCCGGGGAATAGCCCCACCCACTGCCCTGGGGTCTTGCTGGCCTGGCTCATACTGGTCACTCAGGAAGGGGGGTCCCAGGTCAGGACCCCAGGTGCCATTTGGCAGTGTTGTGCCCTGGTGCCCATACCAAAAGGGGCTACCTCCACCCGCACCATTGTCTCTCCAGAACTGGTGCGGCCCACTGCCTGCCCTGGCTGTAGCATGTGGACATCCTGCAGTCTGGGATCCTAGGGACAGGATGGGGGTGGGGCCTGTGTGTGACAGCAGAGATGGTAGCCAGATCTTTCTGTGTCTCCAGGGCCCAGCTGCTGGGCTCTAGACCAGGCCCTGCCCCTTCTCTCGGCGCTTGTGCAGCCAACCTTGTAACTCAATTGGTTGACCAGAGTTTTGTCCCACCTCGTGACTTCTCCTTTTTCCCATTTTGGACCCATGGCACCTTGTAGATTTGCTCTATAAAATCCCTAGGAAAGCAGTTCTTGACAACCCACTCGGGACCCCTTCTGTCTCTCAGAAGCTTTCTTTCTCTCAATAAATATATTCTGCTTTTAGCCTCTGTTGCTCCTAAGATTTCTTGATTGTAGAGAGCATGAACTCACAGTGGACACCTAGCAGATTAGGAGTTTCCTTCCTGTGTCACCAAAAGCCTGTCTGCCATATGCAAGACTGTTCTTGCACATCCTGGGAGACCTGGGCCAGGTCCCCCAACTGTATGCTCTCTTGCAGACTGCTTCCTCCCTTCTGCACTGGAAGGCCAGTCTCTCCAGGTCTGCACTCTGGTTTTGAAGGCTAAGGGCCTTCCCCTGGCCTGCCCAGTGCCCCTGGGGTGGGACCTGGCGCCCTGCAGGAGTGAGGGCAGGGGTCACACTACCCGGGCAGGGCTGCCAAAGGGCAGAAATGGGGAGGAGAAAGGAGCCCCGAGAGCCCCAAGGAGGTGCGCACAGTTCGCCTGGTACAGCTGCGCATCCTGACATCTGTTTCCACAGAGGCTGGGATGGCTGTAGTTCAGGTGTCAAGCACCTGCCCTGTCCATGCTGCCTAAATAAAATGCAGTTTATTCTTCCCTTTAGCGAGACAGGCGGGTCTGCTCTTCCTGAGCTGCCCTGTGGCCAGCAGTGCCTACAGCTAGGCATGTGGTGTTTCTTTCCACCCCTTGTCCTTGTCCTTGTTCTGCTCTGAGGCTGGAAACATTCACGGTGAAGCTGGAGCCTGTGGGGCAGGGAGGGGCCTAGACCCCTCATGGGATCCCAGGGCTTCAGAGGTGCAGAGAGCAGCACAAGACTCCGTGGGGCCCAGGGACACCTGCAGGGCCGGGTGGCTTTTACTGCGGTGAGCTGCTACACTGTCTGGCTTTTCAAAACGCTTGCCACAGAACTCGCAGGGGAAGCGCAGAGCTGCTGCGGTCTCTGAGTGCCTGCGCCGGTGCCAGTTCAGGGAGGCCTTCTGGCGGCAGGTGAAGCCACATATCTCACACCTGGAGTGAGGATGTGATGGGCACCAGGTGGGGAGGGGGCCAGTCCACCCAGCCTCCGCACTCCTCCGGTCCGCCTCCTCCCCCGGCCGATGCACTCACTGCAGGGGCTTCTCCCCGGTGTGGATACGCCTGTGGATGACCAGGTTACTGCTGGTGCGGAAGGAGCGGGCGCAGAACTCGCAGATGTAGTCCCTGGTGTCTGTGGGCACAGGGGACACTCAGCATCCTCCCCATGCCATGAGCACAGAGCAGTGCGGCTCAGACAGACCTCAGTACTGTCTCTGCTCTCCCCTCCTCCCTGCACTGGGTCCTTGTGGGCTGGCAGAAAGCACCAGGCTGCACTGGGACAGGTCAGAGGGCTTGGATTCCACAACCCGGGGCGCCTCCTGGCCCAGGTATCACCTCCCCATTCAGTGCCTATGGCCAGGCCCTTCAGCTGGCCCGGGGTCTGTCCCTGAACAGGACAGTGGTTGTGCTTTCCCTCCTGCAGCACCAAGCCCTAGCCTGCGCAGGGACAGCTGCCTGGCCTCTCTCCCACCATCGCAGACCTCTGCTGCTACCTGAGGACGCAGCCATCGTGCCACACACTGGTCAGACCAGCAGCCTCCTCCCTTGGGCCTTGTCACCCCAAGTGACCACAAGTCTGGCTCTAAGTGCATCACTCCTGCTGTGCCAGGCTTCACATCCTGTTGCCAGCCCTCCTTGGCCACCCTCCCAGGTACACCCAAGCACTGTGCCACCCTGGAAACCACAACTTCCAGCCTCCGGCCATGGCCGCCTCCAGTCTACCGCGGTAACCCACAGCTCCAGGCTGCAGTGCCACCACGACTGTCCCGGCCCCAGCCTGGCCTCTGTGCCATCTTCACGGCCTGCTGCTGAGCTCTGGACCAGCCCACCCTCCCTCGCCCATGCCCTCCCCAGCCTCCACAGAGACCCCAGCACAGCCCTGTCCTGCCTGCCGGGACCCTGACTCTCCACACCAAGACCCCCAGGCACCTCCTCTCACCTAGCAGGAGCCACACGCAGATTCCTGGCACCTGAGGAGGGAAGAGCACTTTCCTGCAAGCCTACCCACACCCACAGACACCATCTGGGACAGTGGCGCACGGGGTCCTTTCCACTGGCCTATTCTCTTCCCCCCTTCTGGCCCCCTCTGTCCTGGGGCAATGTCACCAGGGTAGGGTGCAGCCCTCGCTCACCACTGTGCAGCTTCACGTGCTCCTTCAGGTGCTTCTTGAAGTTGAAGGACTTTCCACAGGCTGGCTCTGGGCAGCAGAAGGACTTCTGGTGGATGTGCTGGTATTTCTTGTGGTGCTTCATGGAGGAGGAGGGCTGTCTCTGCCACCATTCCGGCCCTGGCCTGAAGCAGCCCTCCCCGTCATGGCTGGGGACCACCCTGTCAGGACTGAGAACGACCCTGGCCCAGTCCCAACCCCGTCCACTAGTGTGCCACACGCAGCACACGCTGGCCCTGAGCTCTGGCCTCGCCTTGAATAACCTCTGTTCTCACAGCCCTCCCAGGGCAACTTCCTCCAAGGAGGCCTGTAGACTACTACTGGTGTGGCTCCACTCACCCATCTGTGCTCAATGCGCTGGGAACCTAACTGGGCCAAGCAGGTGCTGTGGCACCGGGCAACACCCCAACCCATGGGCCCCTTTCCTTGGTTTCTTTCCCAGCTCTCTCCCGGCCGTGGCCCACATGCCAAGCTGCCCCTCACGTTCAAATACTGCCGATTGGAGAAGATCCTGCCGCAGCCCGGGAAGTCGCAGGGCAGCAGCTCTCTCTTGGCAGCTTTCCTGGGCAGGAAATGGGGAGCTATAGGCTCCTGCCAGTGTCCCCACCTCTCCTAGGCCCTCCAAGTCTGGCCCCAAGTCCTACCGGATTCTCTTGGGCACAATCTGTGCAGCGTCCTCATCTGGGGCCAAGGTTGGAGTGGAAAAGGCCTGCCTCCTGGGGCTGTGGGGGCAGAGGGCATGGAGGGAAGGTCCGGCTCAGGACCCCATCCCCCACCTGAGCGCCTGCTGGTACCTGGCCACAGGCTTGGCCTGCAGGGTCCCCCTGGGCTGCAGCTGGACCTCAGCTTCTGAGATGGGAGGTGCTCCCAGGTGCAATGGGGACACCACTGGGGATGGCTCTGCAGCAGTGGAAGCCGCTGGTGCCTTCGCCTCTTCAGGTGTGTGGGTGGCAGGTGCTGTGGGTGGCCCAGACACATCTGGTTCACTGCTGAAAGGAGACCCAAGAAGAGGGGATGTTCTCTCTATCTGGGAACCCAGTCAGCCCAGGCCCAACCCTAGCCCTAACTCGTAAGAATCCCTAACTGAAAAAACTCCACCTGCAGCCTGGCTCCCAACTGCAGGACTTCCAGCTTCCTCTGGCCTGACCCCTCAGCCTGCCCCCCTCAGGTTGGCATCTGGAGCCCTCAGCTCTGCTTAGCACTCTAGCCCCAACTTGCCCATCTGGGGACGAGCTGTAGCTCCATGGGCTGGCATCACTTAGCATCTCCTCCTCCTCTTCCTCCTCTCTTGGGGGTGGGAAGGTCTCCGGCTGGGGTCCCACACCCCTGTAGGCCAGAGAGAGAAGACCTGAGATTCTACTCCCTCCCCAAGACCTCACGGGGCTGGCCTAGAACTCCTGACCCCAGCCTCACCCAGGCAGCCCGATTTCTGGAGTGGCCCCATCACGTTCTGGCTGCAGACCTGCGGGGACAGTGGGGTCAGAAGGGATAGGGGGATAGGGAGGCCTGTGATGGTGGTGAAAAGGGCCAAGGCTGCTGTGGAAAGGGGGTCACTCAGGATATGCAGGGAGGTGGTCCTGCCAGCAAAGCACGAGCAACGCAATGGGAGATGGGAGCTGTGTCCCTCAGGGCTGCGGGCACCACTCCCTCCCACTGGGACACAGGTTTCCCAGGTGCCCCTTCGCAAGTACCTGAATACACTCACTATGTCTGATTGTAGGTTTCTGCTAGTGAACAATGTCTTATTTTTCCTTCACTCTTTTTTCTTTTTCTTTTCCTTTTTTTTGTATTTTAGGGAAGGGTCTACAGGGTGTTCAGGGTCTTGCTACTAGATCGGACTCATAGTGATTCTCCTGTTTACAGCCTCCCAAGCGCTGGGATTACAGGCGCGCACCACCATGCCCAGCCTCAATTGCCATCTCAGCCACCCCGGGGGGTGGGGCCAGCACGGGAGGCCGGGGGAACCTTCATTCTTCTTTTACACACGTCTTGGTATGTTTTCCAGCCTGGCCTTGAACCCCTCACACATTCCCCCACTAAGCCGGGCTGCCTTTCTTCTTCCACCACCAGCGTGCGGGAGGACACATTTCCCGCTAGCACAGAGGGATAAGAAACAGAGCTGGGGCCTACTGAAGACTAGAACTCTCTCTCCCTCTCTTCCGCACAACTCCTACCTGTGGGCTCCTGCTCACTGCTCCAGGCCTGCTGGGGCGCCCCCACAGGCACAGGGCTCAGGGGGGGCTCCCAGGAGAAGCTGTGGCCCGCCGAGCACTCCCACAGCAGCGCCCCGCGCCCCGCAGGCCCCCGGAGCTCGGGAGCCAGGCCGCACTCCCGGCTGTGCGCGTGGCACAGGAGCACCAGGCATTGCAGGCTCTTGGAGGACAGAGGCTCAGGACCTGGAGGAGAGAGGCCAGGTGGGGTCCCCTCTCCCACCCCCAGGCCAGGAGACAGTCCTGTGCCGAATCGCGGGGCAGCCACCTTCCATGGTCCCGAGGCTGCCTGGGACCCCTGGCTGCAGCCGCTTCGTGGCCCACTGAGGCCTTGGGGTCCAACCCTGACCCCAACCCCAACCCCAACCCCAACCCCAACCCCACTCCGCCTCAGCTACCACAGACCTGCGCAGAAGGTGCAGCCCGAGGACAAGTACCTGCGGGGGAGACGGCAGGTGAGGCCCCTGGGGACCCAGCTCCCCGCCCCGGGAGCCCCCTCTCCCACCCCCTGCCGCTCGGACCGGTCCAGCAGGAACGTGGCGAGCTGCGAGTGCAGCGCGAAGCCCAGGCGTTCCTTGAGGTGGCACCAGCGCTCCATGCGGCCGCCCAGACGGATGCGGCACTTGCTGCGCCGCGCGTCCAGCCGCCGGCGCCGCTCCCGCCGTCCGCGCGCCGCCTCCTCCTCCTCCGCGGGGGCTGAGGCCATGGGGCATGGGCTGGGGGCCTGCGGGGCGGGACATGCTGACCTGGGGATCCCGGCCTCGCCGAGGGACGGTCCGGGAGGGCCAGGCCGAGACCCCGAGCGACCCGGCCTGCGCCTCCCTCTGCAGCGCGCCCCCACCCCGCCGGCCCGACGCTCGCGCCCTCATAGCGCGGGGGTCACAGACCCGGTCTTCGCGCCGGGGTTTGCCCTGCGCCTAGCCTCGCCTCGCCTAGCGAGCCGGCCCGAGAGCAGCGCGGAGACGGGGCCCACCTCGTGAGCCCGCCGCCGTTGCTGTTTTAAGAGGAAACTGTCCCCCTCCGCTCGGGCGGCGCCGGGGGCGGGGCCGGGTG